AGCTACAACCCAGCAGCTCAGAAGAAACTGCTGATCTGGCTTCCTGGGAGCTTGCTAGAGCCTGAGAGCTTTCGCCCACTCCCCCAAGCCATGCCCTACTGCCCCTGAGCCTTGTGCTTCCTGGCCCTTATGGTGCACTCGCTCCGCAAAGAGGAACACTTCAATGCTGCCTACTCATTGATTGTCAAGCCTGTCTGCTCCTCTGGGCTTTTCCGCTTATGTACATTTTCTCTGGCCAGAGCTTACTGATTTCTAATAAATCTTCTCAGCCTTTCTCTGTGTTCTGGCAAAGATAACCTTCCTTGGTTTGACTTGCATGCCTCCATGCTGGTCAATTTAATTTGGGACAGCCCCCTTTACCTCCTAGCTGCATTTCAAAGCTCTGTGACTTTGCTTTGATTTCTCTTTAATTCTAAGTAAATATAAATGTAAATGAGTACATGAACAGAACTTGAATGAGTTTTGAGTCAATGAGTTTTGGTGTAACTGACTCTTCATTCAAAATATAGAACATTTCCACTAACCTAGAAAGTTCCCTCTTGGCCCCTTTTATTTAATCCCCTTCTAGAGGCAACCACTGTTCTGGTTTACGTAAATTTTGCATAAATAGAAACACAGAATATGTGCTTCTTAGTGTCTAGCTTATTTCACTAAACATGTTCCTGAAATTGGTCCATGTTGCTGAGTATATCTGTAGTTTATTGTTATTGTCTCTAATTTTTTATCTTTTTTTTTTTTTTTTTTTTTTGCAGTACGCGGGCCTCTCACTGTTGTGGCCTCTCCCGTTGCGGAGCACAGGCTCCGGACACGCAGGCTCAGTGGCCATGGCTCACAGGCCCAGCCGCTCTGCAGCATGTGGGATCCTCCCGGACCGGGGCACGAACCCGCGTCCCCTGCATCGGCAGGTGGACTCTCAACCACTGAGCCACAAGGGAAGCCCTGTCTTTAATTTTTTATTGCTGAATAGTATTCCAATGTATGAATATGCCAATATTTTGTAGGTTTCCGGGCTTTTGGCTCCAACATCTGGAGCAGATTTCCTGATCTTCTAACAAACAAGAGAGACAGAAAATGGAAGTTCAAGAATATGGGAAAGAGACCATAAGATCAGTGTGATGTGAGAACTATGCCATCAGTTAATAAAAAGCTTCCTTTCTTTTGCTCTGTGAGGTGACCCTAAATTCACCAACTCTTCAATTTCACAAGGCAGAAGGTCTAAAAGTCCATAATCAGGCCTGTAGACCTCTGAAGAAAGAATATTTCTCTACTTTACTACAATAAAAAAAGACTACCTCTCTACTTTACTATTAGTACAAGAAAAACTTTTACTCATCTTTCAAGTCTAGCTCAAATGGCATCTCCAGTCTCTAGCTTTTCCATAACCTTGAGGGAAAGTGGCTCAACCTCTCGTTTGTGTTCTTACAACTCCCACGAGCCTTGGTTTCAGTTTTTACCATCTTTTACTACATTGGTTTCTTTGCAGACCTGACTCTACTTTCTACCAAGGAAACTATGGACTCCTCAAAGAAAAGGTACCTTCTGGCATCTAGCACAGTGATTACACACATGGTGTAAATGAGTAGACAAGTGGATGACTGCCCAGATAGATGGGTGGATAGACGGACAGATGGATGGATGGACGGATGGATGGATGGATGGATGGATGGATGGACGGATGGATGGATGGATGGGTGGATGGATGAAACAATTTGTGAATAATGCCATATTGCTTATAAACTGAATGAATTATCTGGTCTTTAGCAACCCCCAGAAGTTATCATGGCATTGCTTTCTCTCACTGTCTTGCATTCTCATTGGTTCTGGGAGTTTGTATTATTCTACCTGCCAATAGGCAAATGTCTCAGTACCATCTAGAACAGGTGGAATCTACTAGCCACCAGAGACTGGCTTCCTGATGCTTTAAGAAATATTTTCATAAGAGTCAGAGTTTGGGTGGAGTCACAGTGAACCTACAACTAGCCCAAGAGGTAATCTTTTTTTTTTTTTTTTTTTTCGGTACACGGGCCTCGCACCGCTGCGGCCTCTCCTGTTGCGGAGCACAGGCTCTGGACACGCAGGCCCAGCGGCCATGGCCCACGGGCCCAGCCGCTCCGCGGCATGTGGGATCCTCCCGGACTGGGGCACTAACCCGTGGCCCCTGCATCGGCAGGCGGACTCTCAACCACTGCGCCACCAGGGAAGCCCCCCAAGAGGTAATCTTGACTCAGTGGAAATCTTCCTGGCACAGGACAGGCCTGAGTACTGAATGAGTGACAGTGCTTCTGCTGTCAGCAGGAGGCCAGTTAAATACAGTCGCATAGGTAGCTGAAAGGTGATGTTGAGCCTGTAGGAGAGCTTCGTGACACTGTGAATTGCATCTAGGGCTCAGCTGTTTCTCACCCACCTCTCAGATGGTCCCAGCAGGAAACAAGTCTGCGGCTGTCATGTTTACAGTTAATTAATGTTTATTCATATTTTTAAACAAGGCTTTCACCTGTCACGCTTTAAAATAAATGTTCTGCTCTTCAATTAGAGATTGTCAGAACAGAGAGGAATCCTGTTTGTTACGGGTTGAATGTGTGTATGCTTAACTGTGCATCAGGTTGGAACCTTTTTTTCTGTGTCTTTCTCTCTCCTCCCAGAGGCTAAGGCCTTCTATTCAGAGAGACATAGTTTTCAAGATCTTGACTGTGATATTGGTGCTCTGCTATGTAGGCCATGAACTTGCTTCTACAGGGCAGACAGCATAGATTACAGCATCTCCTTGGAAGCAGGGTGGTGGGAGCTAGCATGAAAATATTGCACATTTTGACCAGTGTAGAAAAAGCGTTCTTAAGGGAAAAGGATGTGCTTTGTCCTCTTTGCAATAAAGTGTTGACTCAGCAAGTCTGAAGTGTTTAAACCCCGTACACTCCAAAGAAAGGTCTGGCCCTCGACTGACTCCTGGGAGAACACCTTGACATCTCTGGAACATTCTGCTAGATAAAAGTGTCTTTCTTTACCTGGGCCTCAGGCAATGTGAGAAGGTTGATGCTGACAATGTGATATATGGTGGGGTTCTTGTGCCGCCAAGTGTCAGTTTGACCTCTGAAGGGCCTGGAGACTGAGTAACTAAGATCAGCCACGTGGGACACCATGGCTACAAAATAACCCCTGATAAAAAGTCCTGGACATCAAGGCTCAGGGGAGCTTCCCCGGTTAGCAACACTCTACCTGTTATTACACATCATTGCTGGAGAATTAAGCACTGTTCATACAACTCCCCTGGGAGCAGACACCTGGACTTATACCTGTTTCTCCTTGACTCTGCCCTCAGTGCTTTTTACCTTTGCTGATTATAATCTGTATCCTTTCACTGTAATGAACTGTAATTATGAGCAGAAAAACTATTCTGGGTTCTGTGAGTCTTTCCAGGGAATCACCGAACCTGAAGGTAGTCTTGGGGACACACCAACACATCCTCTCAAAGAGTAAGTGTTGAAGAAAGATGGAGTTCTGGGTGGAAAACCAGATCAGAACTGAATCTCAACTCTGCTGTATGCTTCCTGGTGATGCCAAGGAAATCACTTGACCTCTTAATCTTTTTGAGAGTTAAATAAGCTTCTATATTAGATATTCACCCATTGTTTCACTAGATATTCACTGAATGTGACACTGTTTTGATGACACAGTACATGGTCAAAATTTGGCTAATGGTAGAGGTAATTGTCTGAGTTGGTTCATCCATGGGCTTTTCCACATTAGTTTAAGTTCCTTAGGTTAGGTAAGCACTCTAAATTTGGACATATGCTCCTCTGCACTTTTGCAGACAGATATGTTCACAGTTTGTAATCAATAAATGATCAGTAAAGCAATTATACTCCAATAAAGATGTTAAAAAAATACAAATAAAATAAATGATCAGTTTCATACAGTTACTTAGCTAGTATTGCCTCCTATCTTATCTTGAGCCTAAGCCTCTGCATCCATATAGTTTGTTTTTCATCAATTGCTAAGTTACTATAGGCTTGGGAGAAAAGCCTACACATGAAAGTGCCTAGCACAGTGCCAGAATCATCGTTGGAATTTAATAAGTACTAGTTGAATGTCAATCTGAACATCTAGAGGATTTTTTTCCAAATAATATTTGGAAAAAATACCATTTGGAAAAAATACCATTTCCTTTCTTGAATAACTGGAGAAAAAAAAAGAGACCCAGGAAATGGGATGAAATGCAATTTTTTGCCCAGTTTTCACCAATGAGTATTGAACTACTGCTTTGCTCCTATTGTTGGTTAAACTGTTTCCCAAAAAGATATGTTGAAGCTCTAATTCTCAGTCCTTATGAATGTGACCTTATTTGGAAAAAGATTCTTTACAGATGTAATCAAGTTAAGAGGAGACCATATTGAATTAGGGTGGGCCCTAGTCCAGTGTCTGCTATCCTGATAAGAAAAAGGAAATTTCTACACAGACACACAGAGGGCAAAGATGGCCATGTGAAGACAGAGGCAGAGATTGGAATTGTGCCACGCCCCCCCCCCCCCCCCCC